TAAATGCTGAGGTATCAATAAATTATAATAAACTAAATGCTGAGGTATCAATAAATTATAATAAAATAAATGCTGAGGTTGTGGCTCTCTCTCATGATGTTTGCAGAGTCTGCATGTAACGTTTTACAAGGTTTTGTGTAAATGAGCACACAACAAGGATTTGGCTGGCCCTCTATGGACAGCTCTCCAAATGCACGGTTTTTATTTGTGCAAAGCCGAGGGCAGAGACGAGTCCCTGTCTGCCTCGAATACGCGGGGGCTCTCTCTGCAGCCCAGCCTGCAGATTTTAGACGCAGCTGCCTCCATGTGTCCCCTGAAGCCAGACAGAACAGAGCTGGCTAAATCAGAGCGCTCGTAAACATCCTCCGATGCCAAAGCTTCTCTGCATGTGGACAGCCTTTCTTAGCCCATGTGGGCCCAGTTCCCAGAGCACAATACAAAAGCCTCTGACCTGACAGTCTCCCCAAGTGTCCAGATTTGATTTCATCAGACCCTCGCCGCTGAGCGTCAGCCGGGGCCCTGCTCGCACAAACACTTTCACACGAAGACAGTCCACTCAAAGAGCGGTGTCAGGGGGGCCTGAGAAGAAACCAGGAGCAGTTAACAGCAGATCCACAGGAGAAGATGATGGACAACTGGGACCTGTGGAAGCCACTGGAACATTCAGCCAACTTTTACTGCAGCCTAAGTCATCACGTCACCCCGACATTCATCTTTTGTGTACTCATGTCATGATTGTGTTTTTCACACCCATAAATCCAGAGTTTGCCTCAGCCGTGAACATGTGGGCCTTTATTTGTGAATCCTTGCCGCGGACAGCGAGTTGGCCGAAGCGCCGCGCTTCCTCTGCACTTTCTCACAGAGCTGTCCAAGGCATTACTACTGCTACAGTGAGACGGAGGCGGGATCTGGCACCGGGGACACGGCGTGGAGCGGTCACTGCACAAATGGCAAGGCGAGCACATTTCACACCTCCCTCAAAGTGACTGCAAATTTCCTGTGCTGCACATTTGATTGGAAACACATTTGAAACATCTTTTCATGATCACACTTGTAGCGTACAAAGAGGAAAAAAGACGGAGGAATAAGGTCCAAACTATGAGTAAGAGCAGTGAGCTCACTTTGGACCAGACAAACGCTGGGTTTTGTCTTTTATTTGTCCAAGCCTAAATAAATCAGAAATGAGCTGAGTTTAATCTAAAGCAGCACAAAGATTATAAATGAAATCATTTCTGCTTGGATGGAGTAAAGTGGAGCCACCTATGCAGGAGTGAGATTATAACAGATGCCCACGCAGACCTTTGTGGCTTCAGGACAACAATGATCTTCTTACACATTCACTTTCACTCTTAAAACACAAACTCTGTGCTCGGCCACAATCTCCTTTCTCTCCAGCAGCACTCCAGCTGCAACATGCACAGTGTTTTATTCTTTATCTACGTGCCTTTAAATGAGAGGGAGGGAAGGTTGTCTGCTGTGGCGCCGCGGCGTGTAACACAGAGGATCTCAAAGGCTGGCTGCAGAAGAGTCTGAGAAAGCCCAGAGACTCCCCGTGGCAGCTTTCGCCACTCTGTCACAAACAAAACACAAGACGTCTTTCTCTTCTTCCCACACCAGCGGAGCTGCGGTGCTGCCAAGCAGAACAATCACTATTGTAGCCCGCTCTCCTTCCAATATGCTGCCTGTGCCTCGCGCCGCGTCTCCTCAGTGCAAACAAAAGAGATGAGCAGAGGCTTTACCTCTGTGACAGCAACAATGAGGGCCATGTTCAGGAGACAGAACTAAAGAGTGCACGGGACCAAAGAGGAGCCAGGAAGACGGAGGAGCTGAACACTGACAACATGCAAAACAAACGATGAGCGTCGTGGCCTCATCACTCAGCCTGATCAGCAGCACGGACAGGGTTCAAACCAAGAACTGCAGCGACCGCTCAGCAGCTTCTGTTTGACCCTTTCTCAGGCGGTCACTCATTCGAGATGCACGAGCTGCGGAGCAGCGGACTTTACGAACGCACGAGTGTCTCACTGCACTGAACCAGCGGCACGCACCAGCAGGACGCGCATGTTTTTACACACGCACCACTACTCACATACAAGCTACAAAACGTGCTCACTTGATCCATCGAGCTTGTCTTGCATACTATGATCTGGTTTTATTGCAGTTCACCTGACCGGGAGTGGTGGCGCAGAGGTTAAAGGTGGGCCTGTGATCGGAAGATCGCTGGTTCAACTCCCCCAGACCGACAACATCAAAAAGTGGGTGGGAAAGGTGAAGCACCCACAGCTGCCTCCACCCTCATTTGCCCCACACTGGGCCCTTGAGCAAGGCCCTTAACCCCCACCATCTGCTCCCCCAGGTGCCCCAGATGCAGCTCTCTGCTCCGCACAGAGGCGGTGGCAGCTCGGTGTCTGCGGTGGAGTCAGGAAGGACGTCCGGTGTAAGAACAACAGCCAAGTGTTCGTGCGACTTAGTTCACTGTGGTGACCCCTGAAGAAGGAGCAGCCGAAAGAAGAAGAAGAAAAAAGAACAAACTGCACTTCACCTGACCACTTTAAGAGAAGATTCAAAATGCTTTCTAAATGTTCAAGTTTTACAATGTTTAACGGCAAAGCTTCAACAAATTTTCTTGTGGTATTACAATGTTTGAAATAAAGCACATACTGTTACAATGTTTCTAAAATGTTTGCCCATTTCAAACTTCTAAAACTGGCTAAATTCTCTCATAAATCTCTTGAATCCAGCATTATTGACTAAATCTGTGTTCTTTGAATGGTTGTAAATGTTTAAACTTCTGAACTCTGATCTCACATCCTCACCAAACAGTTCATAAAATAAATTAGCGTCACACACTGAATGCTACGTATCGTTTATTACCATGGACGCAACAAAGCTGCTGCCGGGGTTTGGCTCGGGCTGCGTGACGTGTCTGGCCTGGACACACACGTGGTGTGTGTGTGTGTGTGTGTGTGTGTGTGTGTGTGTGTGTTGCAGCAAAAGAGCCGGCTCTGATAGCATTTGGCTACACATTATTGGCTAATGTCAGCGTAAAGTCGGTGTGTTTGGGCAGCGCCGACGCTGCGTCTAAACGGATGTGCAGTTTTGAGGCACGGTTTGAAACTTCCAGAAACTTCCAGCTGAGATAACATTAGGTCATGAGCTTGTTTGAACACCCAGACAGCAAACGGTGATGCAGTGCGTGTGTATTTGGAGGATTTGGCTGTGAAACATATTTAGTGAGTGTGTGTCTGCCGTGGCTGTGATTTTAGCTGTGTGGAAAAAGAAAGAAGCCCAGCGCAGTCACTGTTTTGGCTGCCTGTGTGTGCGCGCACAGCCATGTTTGGCCAAGCGCGAGTGTGTGTCCATGATGGTGGCTGAAATACAACAATGCTTGGCCGTATCAAACCGTATCTGTGATAGTGCCTTGGACCAAACGTGCACAGTGTGGGTGTGTGTACACAATTGTGACTAAAAGTGTGCTTGGCAGGAAAAGTGCGTTTCCAGAGATGTCAGAATTTTTTCTTATTTAAAGCCCTCCAAAAAATCAAAAAGCCTGCGCATCCTGCCTAAGCTGTGTTTACACGGGTGTGAATACGGTGCGTGTGTGTGTGCGTGTGTGTGTGTGTGTGTGTGAGCATGTGTTTGGCAGCCAGGTCCGATGTGGTGCTGGTGTTCAGTGGGGGCAGCAGCCGCCTGTGGCCCAAGACCAGGAGACTCACAACTCTGCACACACACACAACACACTCACACCCACATGGCACACACACGCACGTTTTTTCTATAAACAACAACAAATGTTCACAAAGATATGCACGTGAAATTTGTCACACAAAAAATGAACAAGTATTTTCCACTTATTTGAGTGTTGACTCATAACTCCTTGGTGTCTGACAGTAAATAATGAAAGTGTTGGAACTTTGTGTTTAGCTTCACTTCTTTATCGTCCTACTAAATAATAAAACGTTTAAAAATCTCTTGAGCTTCAAACGCACCTTAACTGTTACCTGAAATGTACTTTTCAGCCTTTTCTTGTAGTTTTGGTCACGTATCATTTTATTTGCTAGCAGCACGGGTGTGAACGTGTGTGTTGTTCTGTGGGCGTGTACTGTGGTGTTAGCATGCATGAACCGTGTGCCGAGCTGGGACGTACCTGGCGTGTGGACGAAGTAGGCCAGGTAGAGGTCCAGCTCCTTGACGGACACACCGATGTGGTGCGGCTGGACGCACAGGCCGGGGTTGGTGCACTGGGGAGACTTGACCAGCCGCTCCCCGTCCGTGCTCTCCAGGGGGCTGCCTTTGAACAGGATGACCATGACCAGGTCCAGCCGCCACACCTTGTCGGCCTGACGCAGGCAGTCGATGCGGCGGATCTTGCCCTTCTGGTCGGGGTTGGACAGCACGCAGCAGGGGGCCTTCTTGCCTGTGATGGTGAGCACAAAGTCCTCACGGAACTCGGGCCGAATGTCCTTACGGAGTTTGGCCAGCAGGCGCGAGGCCCATTTCTGCTTAATCTCTGGCTTCTCCCCGAGAAGCTCGTCCTTCACGGCGCGCTCTTCCTCCTTGGACATGCGCTTCTCGTGCTTCTTGAAGTATTTGCGCTTGCGGGCCTGCAGGTTGAACCAGGTGTAGGCGAATGCGCGGACGTGGGGCAGGAGGGCCTCGATGAAGGGATGGAATTCATCCTGGACGAGAGAGGAGGACGGGGGGAGGGTGGAGGAGGACAGGGGGGGGGGGGGGGAGGCAGGAGGAGGAGAGAGACGGGGAGAACGGGGGAGAGAAGGATGGGGAGAGAGGGAGCGGGGGTGAGGAGGGGAAGAGAGAAGACAGGCAGTTAGCACCGGCACGCAGCATGGAGGAGCGGCGCCTGCTCCGTGTGAGCAGAGGAAAAGAATGAGAGAGAGGCGCTAAGAGACTGAGAGAAAGAAGGAGAGAGAGAGAGAGAGAAGGATGCTGTGCACTCCAAGACACAACTCTGAACAACACAACACTCACACACTAAAGGGAAGACACACTTTCCAAACTAGATTTCAAAGTAGAGTCACACCAACATCTTCAGTCTCACTGAGAGTTAACATTTAAAATCATCATTTTAAACCGTCTGCAAACAATTACACTGAAACTAATTAAATTGGAACAATAAAAAAACACACAATCAAAAAAATGATTCCGTGCATCTGCATTCATTTTTTACCAGATACTGTCAAAACATGTAAATAAACAAAAACAAGTGTCCGTTACCATTTCGCTCTTTCATCACAGAGTCACTCCAGCGATTGCACAGAAATGTTTTATGAGAAATCGGTGGAGTTGAGCGCTGCCAATATTGGAAAACGAAAACCCAAACTGCAGAAGTAAAATGACACAAGAGAAACCAGAAGCTTTCGGATTTGTCCAATAAAAGCAGCTGGGGGGGGGGGGGGGGGGGGGTGATCTGACAGTATGTAGTACCAGCACAGGAACACAGGAGGTACTGGAGCAAGAGGTGCTGCTCAAGAGCACAACAGAAGGAGAGTGAAGACAAGTTTTGTACTTGTTCGTTAAAGAGCTGTGCATAAATTAAATAAAAGCAACGATGCAGAAAACACGATCAAAAACCAAAACAAGCTTCTTTGTTTGCAAAAATAAAAACGCCTCGCTGAAAAAACACACACACAAAAAGTGGGTGTCAAAGCGGCTCGTGCTATTGGTTCACATCTGATGTGCACGGAGCCAGAGAGAGGGAGCGCGGGACAACAAGGAGGGGCGGACGGAGGACAAGAAAAAGACAAGAGGACCGAGTCAATGCTGGAAGACCGAGCACGACCAAACCCGAGTGCAGCTTCTTTTTTCTTCCTCTCCAACTCTGCCTCTCTCACCACGGACCGAGTCGGTGCCAACGTGCACTGGGCCCACCTACTTGGCACGGAGTCCAAACAGCCAGCCAATGCGCTCGCTCCCAGCGCTCAAAGGGAGGGAAGACAGAGACATGGCACATGGACAAGCAGGGAGCTGGGGGGTGGATGGTTGGTATTGGGGATGGCTGGGGGGCTGCAAGCGGTGCAGGCAGAAGGCATGTCATTAGCAAACACACAAGTTCCAATGTGGAGCAAAGGCAGTCCAGAGGATATTCATTTGACTCCAGACAGCACCTTCTTCTATTGCTACTGCCCCCACCCCCTTCCCATTCCTCACCACCTTCGTCACCAACATGGTCACACCAGCTCGCTCTCCAGCCTCCCCCTCCAGAAAAACAGCCCTCACTCCCTGTCTGTGCTCGCGTTACACCACCTTGGCATGGGATGGCATGAGAAAAACACACAGATCCAAAATCCCACTAGACCCTGAGACCAGCAGCTGCTCCTGGATTTACCACACAAACAAAGAGGGGGGGGACCCCCCACCACCACCCCAAACAAAAAATACCATCCAAAAACATGCTCTCTTGTTTCAAAATGCACTACTACGTCCAAACTGGCCCTTTCTCCTCCTCTCCATTTTTTGTTGCACTCCACTTTAATAGGCCCCAACAGTTCCCACACAGAAACAGATTAAAAGTTTCAGTCACCAAATTAGGGCTCAATCTCAGTCGGCTGAAAATCCTGTGGTGGACAGCATCGTGCACGTAGTCTACGTACGTTTTACTTCAAATATCTCATGCAGGTCATCTTCATCCCCCTATCCAGAAACAGTTGTTTCCTACTCCAAGCATTTCCTGTGGAGAACATTTGTTCACACAGAATGTAAGATAGAGCGTCACGGTCGCAGGGAGCTGGTGCCCGGCAGTCACTGTCCTAGAGACGGGTTGCAGTCAGGTCTCCAGTCCATCACAGGGACACAGAGACAAACGGGACAACCATTCACACTCTCACTCTCACCTAGGAACAATTAAGAGTTAACAATCAGCCTGACATGCATGATTTGGGCTGCGGGAGGAAACCGGAGTACCTGGAGAAAACCCACGTGTTCACAGTTATGTGCAAGCTCTACCTAGAAATGCCGGGCGGCGATCTTGCGATTGCGAGGCAGCAGCTCTACCCACGCCTCCATTAAAATGTTTGTCTCTCAAATTACATGAAAAACTTTTTTTGTTTTTTTTAAGGGAGCACATTTGTTGAATCGTGTCGTCCAAATTACACAAATTAGTCCATGAGGCTCAAATTATAGAGATGTTGTGAAAACTGGAATATTTAGTGGACAACCGTAAAAAGCTAGCTTGTCATGCGGCAAAGTTGAGGGCACAGCCACCTGCTGTGCAACGGGACAAATGGTCTGTGTGAACACTTTACAAAGGCTAGAGTCCTCTGGTTGGCTTCCAGGACCACCAGACTTAGTGTGGCCTGCCCCTTCTGTCAGTGTCTGACAGAGAAGCTTCAGCCCAGATGACTGGCTGCTCCGCTGCAAGGCTGGCCGGCCGGCTGGAACGCTGGCTGAATGACCAGTTGGCAGTTCAGGTAGGTAGATAGCTGGCTAGTTGAATGCCTGGTTTGTTGGCCTGGTCACTGCCATCAGGCCCGGTCAGGCCAGGCCGAACCGGGCCTGATGCCATACGCCAGCCTCACTCAGCCGAGATGAATGTGGGAAAATATGGGAATAAAAGAAAACGGCAAAGGAAAGAGATCGACACAAATTGAACACGAGGGCATGGAATTAAAACAGCTGTGCATATATATATATATATATATATATATATATATATATATATATATGTTTATTTATTTATTTATTTTTTACAAAAAATTGAGGTTTGTTAGCTACCTTATTTGAAATGACGGGGAGATTTAATCATTTTAAGCTCCTAGTGAGTGACAGGTAAAATCCACAAGGTTAAGATGCTTAATTGATGCTTAATTAATTAAAGTGATGTCATCATTTTTTGTTAACAAAACAGGTCTCTCTGTAAATGAGTCCTTGAGGCTCAATGGGATTAACCTGTAGAAATAAAGGTTGAATGAATCAACACTTTCCCCTTCATTCATTCAAACATGAGACACTTGCACGGTTGTTGTTCCATCCATCCATCCATCCATACATCCATCCATACATCCATCCATACATCCATACATACATCCATCCATACATCCATCCATACATCCATACATACATCCATCCAT